TTCCCATTAGGAGGTACACCACCGCTAAAGAACCACCTGTTGTATACCCCAATAGCAAAGGCGTTGAAAACCACCAAATCGTATATCTTTGTCATAACTTAGTGAAACGAAAACACCAAGCTTGTGTATTAACTGGGTTTTGATAAGCTTCAAACACTCGCGTTCAGCTAGTAAAGCTTACCCTAACAGCGTATCAACCCCACCACGGCGTATGTCGTTGTCTCCTATATAAGCTGGCTTCACGAACACATTAATGTAACCTATTGGCGCTGGATTATTTGTGACAACTTAGACAGTGTTTGCTATGATAGATCGTGTAGTGGTGGATCTCTCTGTATTTGAGTTAAGTTGGGCGCTACCCGTAGTGTTATTTAGTTTCACTGTGGTTGTGTGCTACCTCTAGTGTTTTTATATCGGACATTTATTTTGGTCGTATGCTCAATTCATTTTGGTTGAATGTTGCCCAAAGTTTAGTCGTGTTAAATTTTTATTATGGCTGAATGTTAGATTTACTCCATTTTGGATTTTCGTTACCTGTTTCTTGGCTGTGTGTTACACGTGTGCATCTACAATGTACCTTTAGTTTGGTTGAGCGTTACCTTAGTGTGGTTAAGTGCTATCTATATTTTGGTTGTAAGTAACCATTAGTTTGGTTGTATGTTACCTTAGTTTGGTTGTATGCTTCTTTTTACTTCGCTTGAATTTTACAGATGGTTTGGTTATATTTTACCTGTTGTTTAGTTGCGAAAACTGTTATTCTTTAAGATTTACTTTTAAATGTGCCTTATCTTTTATTTTGCGACATTTTCGTTATTCTTTAATATACTTCTCAATTTGACATTTAAGTGTCGATAAGCAATTTAATTATATATTTGTGTACATATGCTTATCTGAAAATAATTTTCGTATGTTCGAAGAGGCTCTAATATACATATATACGTACGTTGTGTGTTGATATTATACACTCAGCCAACAGTGACTGGTGCTAGGGTGTCCCAGACCGATAACCCAGTTACATGCATACTTACGAAATGCGGTCATTCACGTTCCGTATAAAACAACGCTAACTCAGCCCTGAGGAGGAAGTTGTATTTCATCACAGTTAATGTATTATTTCGGCTAATGTTTATTGTAATATAGTTCTATATTTGCAATTATAACTGTGCTGTGTTTACCACATGACGTCCCGATAATGAGTACGTGTACATACATATACTCACTGGATGTTTTGTTTGTGTTTGTTTGTCATGATGTTCACTTTATCTATAGCTTTGTGAATCAACGCAATATTCTGGGTAAATGTCCTATTTATAAAACCAATAAACAGTATCAACAACTACTTAATGACGATCACAAAAATAAACAGGTTATATGTTATTACGCTTCAAGACAAGTAGATGTTCATCATTTTGATAGACATAACAATGTGCATTTAGCAATTTTTATGTGTGTTTGATTGATGTTATGTTGAAAAACTAACTGTTCGATGCACTTAGATGTTAAGCTAGGTAATTCTCATTAATTGGGATGTTTTTGTTCTGTCTCGTCAATCTCGTGATAACGAGGTTTAAGTGTAGTTCAAATTGCCTTTATTTACTATGTACACTTTCAATGTTAATGTCTTATCACTTTTATATTCATGATTTGTTTATTCAAGTTTGTACTTGTTATGATTATAATCCTCAGTGTGTCTCGAGCAAACGACATTGTTCCAAAATGACTATTTGGCTTTAGGGGTTTATCATGTCTTATTGGGTTATATGTATATTAAATGTATCATATCTGTAATTGATCAATTTGATATGAAATTATTCTTTATCTTGAAGCTAGAACGTAAGAAGTTTGCATTGAGAGTATTGTATTGTGACGTTATAGGTGACGAGACATTATAAAGATAATACCGATCTCTTGTTTCTAAAAATAGTAACAACGAGTCCATATACTGAAATATGGTCTCACAGATGAACATGTATAGCACATAGTTTTGGTAATGGGGACAATATTTAAGATTGGCTAAAATATTTCAATTTTAACTGTAAACTGGCATGTTGTAACGTGATCATGGTTAAAATTGCTAATGAGGCGGTTGAAATCACGCTTTAGATAAAGCGGTAAATGGTTAAGAGTCCGTCACTTTGCTCACGACTTTTTGAGTTCTGTTTCCGTTAATATCGTATCATTGCGGAAAACATGCATCAATCATCAGATAACGCATGTAATTCTATGAGGGATGACTAAGTATTTTAGCGCTTAAGATCGAACCGTATTAAAAATGGTTTATTCAAAATATCAGGTCTCTGCTGGTTCATACTAAAACGTGAATGGATATAATGTGCATGTCAACGGTTTGTCTCCTGATCAACGTTTCTCGGTGATGTCATATCAGAGATACAGTTATTCACGGATTAGCAGACTGCGCTTTTATGTCCGTATACTATTTCATATAGATAAATGATATACACGATGTAAGTGATAGCACAACCCATAGCGTCGTGGTTTAAAGGGAACAGTTACTATTTGAATGGCATTTAATGCTTAATAAAATCGATAGATGTACATTTAAGGTGAATGTGTAACGAATTAAAAACGACTTTTCATGTTTATAATTAAATGTTCACATATGGTACATGTAGCTAATGTTTATATGTATGTATATATTTATACAAAAATTAAATATGTATAACTAAACACCGCGGAACTAGTGTTTACTTCATTTACTACCGCCGCTGAAACCAGCAAACGTGTGATAATCCAGTAATGCCGGAATATATTTTTTCACACGTTTTACTGTCGAGAATGACGTTAATTCCGTATGTCACACGGTAGTTTATGTACCATGAGATATGCCTCAGTTCTTACATGTATAAAGTTTAGCTTACAGTAATACTTTTATAGGGGCGATATGTTCAAATGCAACCAGAGCAAACCGATTTTAATCATGATACAGGTTTTAAGTGTTTAAACACGCGGTCGAGGTTAGGGTATATTACATCAGGTCGAGGTAAGAGTATATTACATCAGGTCGAGGTTAGAGTATATTACATCAGCTCGAGGTTAGAGTATATTACATCAGGTCGAGGTTAGAGTATATTACATCAGGTCGAGGTTGGAGTATATTACATCTGGTCGAGGTTAGAGTATATTACATCAGGTCGAGGTTAGAGTATATTACATGAACGTTTTTCTCTTTTTTTTCTGATCTGGATCAAGGATACATTGTATCATTAGCAGATTGATGCGTAAAGTCAAATATTCAAATTAATTTCATTTGAAAAGTATATGCCGAAATGGAGTAGTTTATGTAAAGCATCTGCAGTTATTCATTTAGAATCTCAGAAATTGCATGTTTTTGTCATGTTTTGATAATTAAGGTATCACTGATTTTTGTATTGTGCCACTAACCTAAATTGCTTGTTAAAACCGAGTTGTGGTTTTAAATGCATGTATCTGTTAATAGGTTGATTGATTAAGTTATAAATACTGTATGTTATCTTCATTAAGCTATATTGTGTTACTTTATAACTCATCAACGCTAATTTTTCATCTAGATATAAATAAACTGGTAACCCTATGGGGCACTAATTTTCTCCATGAACTTTAAAACTATTTATAAAGAAAAACAAATCAATAAGTAAATGCCAAATATTTCAATTTTTCGCCTGTTAAGCAAAATGACTGTGGTAAATCAATTTTAAGTTGTAAGTAACACTGAGCTAATTTTAGTTCATATTAACTATTTTCTTCATTATGATAATTGATTCCGTGTGTGTAAAGCATACTGTTCGTTTTATTAAGAAAACATGGGTGATTTGACCAACAAATAAATTGTTCTTGTAACGATTTCAGAAGGAACACGCTCTGTTTAACTAATCCGTATAGAATAGAAGTGTACACACATGTTTTACATTGTAATTCTACCCGCGTGCAGTATCATATTATACATGTATCAACACACACTAGCCCAGATTTTATAATGTACCTACTCTACCTTTGATATTTGAACTTATAAGTACGAAATCCATTTACACGCTTATAAGTATACAAGCTGAATTTCATTCAGAACATTCTGATACACAATTTTATACTGCAACACATACATTTACTAGGGTTCGGTTTTTAGAAGAGTTTTATTCGTAGATTCGTCACGGTGAGTGTGGTCGTAAAGAACTTTAAAGTAACGGGACCATGTTACGTAATTGTAAATTGTCTATCGTGTTGTAAAGTGTAAAGTATCGTGAATAAACTTAAAATATCAACAAAGATTGCTCGGTGTTTGAAATCATTAATACATCGTTATGATAGAAGGTAAGGTCATATAAGAGCACTACTAGGGTTTTTACTGTAACATAACATTGTAAGGTTATAAGTGTTCTCGTTAGGGTCGTTAATTTCCAGCTGTAGGTCAGAACAAGCCATGGATGATCTCATGGTTATTACACGAGGGACCAGGCATTCCGTGTGTAGTGTAGACAGAACAATATTGATAGATTTGTAGGCAGTAACTCAGTAACGCTATCGAAGTTCGGGAAATTCGTGTGAACTACCGATTGGAATCGTAAACTTTCGACTAGCATCCTCTATATGATATCCTCGATAGGGAATTTATATTACTGAAAATTTGGAAAATGAAATTGTTTATAATTGAGTGGTCTGTGACCGCAGCATAATTCTGCTGTTATGAAGAATGTGGTATATTTTATGCGGTTTGGAAGTAGTGAAAAGAAATATAGGAATGGCTATGTTACATTTAGGGAACGAATCAACTTGTTATATTGTTATTGTTTACAATAATAACCTTCAGACGGGACTTTTAAACTAAATCCGGAACAGGAAGGTGTGGCAAAACCACGGGCAGGGTTTATCGTGTGGAGAAAGTTATGAGAGATATGACACGGACAATCAGTTTTGAGGATACATTTTGAAAGTAAGCTACCATCTTATTAGCCTCTGTGTGTGTCTGGTGTTAGTCAGACACTGCGCCGGATAGTGCTGGCATTCGGCCACCCCATCTAATTGCAACCATCTCGTAGGATAAACAGATCGACTTACCCTCGTTTAACGTGAGAAGACTTTCGCCTCTGATTAACATGTGGTTTCAACAGCTAAAATTTCTTGGTTACTTATGGAGAAAACCTAATGAATAACGGATTTTATTCCTGCATTGACTTAGCAGTTAGCCATCCATTTGTCTACTTGGCTAAAGGCCGAGGGGCCACAACAGTGGTAGAGGGTATAAAGGAGGGCGACCACTAGAGCCACGGGAATACTGTATATACCTACACGCCACGCACCCAAAACATTATGGATATGAGGCCTTGTTATGACAATGGCGAGAGAAGAGGTATTAAGACAAAGCCTAGACGTACAAAGGACCAGAGCAATGCTACATTTGAAGGCTGTTGCCTGTTTCAAACTTCAGTGAAGGATTATAATATGAAAGTGTATGCGAATCATTCTAAGGAGATTTATCTGTTACCATCCAAGCACTAGGAACAGCGGACTGGAGGACACGATGGTAGTGTTCATGCTACAGGTAGTATATACACCCTGCATCTCCACTTGTATGTCCCATTAGCTTTACTGGAATCATATGTTACTTATCCCTGTATGCGTTCCCTATACTGCTAGAATATGCTGAGAATCCGTTACATACTGATCCTGACAGTAATCAATTCTGGGGTGATTTCTAGCCTGTAAATATGTTTAATTCTTCATATTTTATGATTTCTGGCATTTGCGCAGGTGAGTTCATCATTGTTTTAATTTAAAGGAATAAATCAATAGAATAGCTACTTTCAACTATAACATTTCAAACCCTCAACGCCTGCTTATTTGGTGAACCTGCATTTCTTTGTATTTACTTACCGTGCCCATCAGATGTGAAATGCACTTATGTCAGCTTAGCCCATCAAACAACTGCACACAACTCATCTTCTCTCTTGTTTCTACCGTGAACCTAACGTTAGATCAAACTATAAAAAGTCAGTTTTTGTGACGTGAATCCGACATAGTTTAAATAGTTGGATATAATTTGTGCTGTATTTCGGCTGCTGTGTTTGCTGTACGTGTTACCCGTACCCATAGGCTTCCTCGGTGCGGCGTAGACTACCGGGCCTAGGCCAGGTACACGCCCCCTTTTAACGTCCGGCCTCCAGACACTTTGACGTTTTTATTTTTCTATTGTCTGGCACTATGTGTCGGCTCATGAATGTTTTATTCTGCTGTGCTAAAGCTTTATATTGATCCCGTTTACAGACGTTATCTATAAACTGTAATCTAACTGAAGGTTTCCTATCTGATATCTCACTGAGATGTATGTATATAGGTTTTACAAATGGAATATTTTTAACAGGTTTCTTTTCAATAAGTGTACGACTTTTTAATGAGTGTTTATACATATATAAAGGATATTGTAATTCGAAGAGACCCTGTGTCAATTCGAAACTTGTTAATATAATATTACAGGTCATCTGAAATCGAATAGTAAGGGTTAAGTATAAAACCACAAAGCTAGATTGCGTAAGTGAATTTCATACAAAACACAAGTTGTGTAGGTCCTTGTTTGATCATCAGAGGGTCTGTTGAGGACCTGCTCTGTGTGCATGTGTTACTGTTATCGTAATAAACTTTTCTCGTGAACACATTTGGTGTTGACTTATCACATTATCATCCTGAGTTAGCTTTAGTTACATAGCGTAGATGCATACATTAGTTGTAAGCGTTACTCAGCTGGAAACACATTATAAATCATCAACTCGCCGACAATTTTATTGTATTGAGTAAAAATGAATTAGAAGATTTGTTCAGAAACGTTTGAAGCTTATATATTGTTAATAGCAGTTTATACGAATAATAACTATGTAAATTTTCAAAACATTCAATTCAAACTTACCGGGTAGATTTTCTATTCGAGTAAACGTTAGGGAGTGGGTTTTTTTCACTCAATTATTCTGAATAATTATGCAATCTAAGACACGTTAACTTTGGCACAGAAGACTTTTATCAGTGATAATATTTGGTAAGTACAACATGATCGGCTTAGTCATCTTTTCTGTATTACTCGGCTTTTTCCTTTCCGGTGTGTAAGCAATGATATATTTATACATATTCTAGTATCAGAATACTGAAATTATTCAGTCGTTGACATACTGTTTTTATAATGTTAGTTTGTATTCTTTCCCTGTGCCCGTTTTGGCATTATTTATACAAAACGAAGCCCATCACGAAATGCATAATGTGCGTTCAGTCTATTTGGATAGTAATACCGTATATATCAAAATCGAAATAGCGAATACCACTTGTATGTTGAAGACACTAAAGCTAATCAATAATCACTGCATTTACTAACGAAAAGTAAAACCAAATGAATATGAAACATAATGTAAAGAGTAACATATTGAGGAAATATTGACTGGCGTCAGAATAAACTGAATATTGAATGTGCAAAGAAAGAAATAGCGTAATATATAAGGGTTTAACACGAATTTCGATTCTACTTGCGTTTTAATATATTGTGCATTCTTAAATCGTTTTACTTAATGTTGATGGAACATGTTAATTATTTAGAGGTTAGTATATGACCATTTTGATATCATATCCTGATCAGCCCGAGAGTCCCGATATCAGCCCGAGGGGCCGGGGCCAAAGGCCCCGAGGGCTGAAATCGGGACCGAGCGCTGATAAGAGATATGATATCAAAATGGTCATATTATAAACTTTTTATCATATGTTAAAGTAGCAATTGCTCCATCACATCGTGTTGATGAGAGCGGACGGTGAGCCTGTGACAACAATAACAAACATATTAATTAGCCTTGTAGTTACACCACCCAAACTTTGACTATTTTTACATACACATTTATTATAAAAGCAAAAAATCTGGGGAGTTATTTGTAATATTCTACATAGTTGTTAACCTACCAATCCAATAACATGAAATTTAATAAAATACTGTTGCTGTTTTCTCAAATTTCTATTTTCTTACCTGTGCCTAGCTGCCCCGATTCGTGCAATATGGACAGTTCCTCTTTGGTCAGAGGGTCAGCATCTTGTGGCTTGTTGCCTTTTCCCTGCTGTTTTAGATTCTTGCATTTGGCTGACAGCACATCACGAGAATGCTTAAATCGTTCATCCAACAAAATGTTGGTGACGTCTGCTAAACACACTGTCTAAGCAAAAAACCAACTGACAGCGCAAATCCGGATTTTACTCGGAACGCTTCGGGCGCTTCCTGTATCCAATACAGAAGTAGAGGTGTTCCGAACAGAGGGTGCATTACGAGAAACTTATCACACGGGTGACCGGAAGTGGTATCAGGGGTGGTCAGAAGTTATCAAATATGCAAAAACACTCATATTCTGAGTGAACATATGATAAGAATCAATTAATACGTGTTTTAACCGCATTTGTTCCACGTATCACGTATTCTCCTTGTACTTGTGTAACGGTCTCCATATCAATATTGACTTAGCTGATATTTTACCGTAGTGATATCGATTTTGAGTTCGAATTATAGTTTTGTTGAGTCTTCGTTACTTCTCTTGTTGTTTTTCCTATGATTATGAAAGCTCCTCAAAAGAGTACCAGCGAAAGTAAACGACTTATTATGAAATATACACAGTAACAAACGGACTACCGTGTACACTTGTATGCCTTACCTCTGAACAATACGTATTTACAGCCTGTTTATCGTCCATAACCTGGCCGACGAAGATGGTTTTCTCTGTGTGTTTATGACATTCTCTGATAATAAAATGACAATGTAACGTGTATGGAGGGGCACAGATTGTCGGTATACTGCTACCAAAATCCCAGATACACTCTTACTTTATGTAAGTATCAGTGGGTTAGGAACAATTCCGTACTAATGACATGCAGGGAACTATAATCTTTTGTTGTAATAAACGACAGGCCATCAGTGCAGTTCCATGTGTACGAAATCTCGTGATTAGCCGCTCACATCGTCTATCTAAATATGTGTAGTTTCGTAACTCTCTAGTGGACGGAGGCAATCATTTGCCGACCAAGTTTCGTACATAGTTCTATACATCTTGGTCCTCCCCGGAGACGTGCACTGGAATGCGTACTACAATAGTTGACCTGTATGAGCTATATTTAGTGTATAATCTATTCTCGCATGACACATCTATGCAACATTTCCCTCGTCAATTGGAGTTATAGCGGCTGATGAACATGTTTCCTGTCGTTTGTGTTTTGGTAAGTATTACTAAACTCATACGTTAGCACGTGACAATCAACTGACCGCTGATTCTCTGAGGACGCTCGTTAATCAAACATACATTCCAAGTTTTACTGGTGGTTATTATGTTCTAAGCTATATACCAATCGCATTGTGTTATTCCAGCTGATTTCAAAATATCCATCCCATTGTCATGAGTTATGTTATGTTCAAAGGCAACCATATTCACAATGTTTCGAAATTAGGTTTTCTATTACGTTCTCGCTTCATTTTCGCTAAGGGAATTCGACTTCAGACAAAAATAGTCTATAGAGGTCACGGATGAGGGGCTTCTAAACTGTCGCATTTACATACGTGTGTACTGTAGTGTAGTAAGTATCAGTTATGTTCACGTCTTTTTCATCGTTTCTAAGAAATATACCATTCATAATGTCGTCAGCTTGGATTTAACCCACACTTTGCTAGCTTGATACAAATACTGAATTTCGTTTTTCTAATCTAAATCGTTAGTAGAACTTATTTGTATTGTACTGAGATATAGTGATAACAAAGTTTGACGCCATCCTCAGAAAAGTCATAAAGACATCCGTCCCAGGAAAATCGGTGAATTCGGGAACACAGTATCTTTTATATTATAGTGATATATATAGTATATAAATATGAATGAAACGCTCTTGCTTGTAAGATCGGTTTACTACGAGTCGTTCGAGCTGAGAGGAGGATACCAAGTGATATCTGAACTAAGAAGGGTTTTCCATATGGTAGGATCCCCCCACATGTTCTGGATCACAGTATATGTGGTCCTGTAAATCTTAGACGTTAGATAGGCACACATGACCTCACCCTGAGGTCAATTGAATACTTGGTCTCGTCTAACAAGTCCACGTGTTCCCAATATGTCACCGAAAGGATAGACAAAAGCGTTCTTAATGTCTCAAAGCACATGGCGAAATTAGAGCAATTATTTTGTCTGATACATGGAACTTTTTCATCGTTATTTTGCATTGATATTTGGTCTTGTTTTAATTTGTAGGACTAAGCACTGTCGTTGGTTCAATTCATTTGTAAACAAACTTAAAGCCGTTCACAATCTCACTTTAGTTCACAGACCTATTCCCGCTTACAAACTTATTTCCGTTTACAAACATGCTTCTTTTGTTCCAAATTATGTTTTCGTTCTTCACACATATGTTTGCAGCAATATTTAATTGATTTTGTTATCTAAAAAGTAAAATAAGTGGGTTTTATTTTTATTCCCAAGGTATATCCTTCCCTATCGCTGGCACCTATCCTATCACTATTAGCGTCTGGATAACTCCGTGCTGTGCTTGTAA